AACGGAGGAGGGTGCCAAACATCAAAAAAAAAAAAAAAAAAAAAAAAGCTGTATGACTTCTACTAGATCACTTGACTTCTCTGTGCTGGCCTTCAACGTAAAAGTGGGGCCGTGTACTTTCTAGGGGTTATGGTGGGGATGAAAGCTCAACGTTTGAATGAGTTCATAGGTGAAGAATGCCTGGCACACAGTAGGCGCTCAACAGGTGCTACCTGTCCTTGGTGAGCTGCAGTGAACACCAAAGGGGTGATGTCTGGCACCCTCCTCCCTACTAGAGTCAGAGACAAGCACCCAACTCCTAAGAAGGGGCGGGGTTTGTCTATGGTGTCCCCAAGTTCGCTTCCCCTTCCTCGTTCCCTGTGTGGCCCTTAAGGAGGGTGGTATTTGAATATCCAACCCCGGTATCCAAGTCTCCTAATAAGGCACAGACTACAGGAGCTTTCCATCATTTTTTTATATAAAACAAAACGGCCCCAGCCGAGCGGCAGGAAGAAAAGATTCAAAACATGAGTATGTACATCGATGGTAGAAGGCACAGCGGGTCCATGTGGAGTGAGGAGTGGGGGGTGGGGCTGGGGGCAGCAGGTTACACAGGTCTCAGCTGAAGCCACGGGGGAAGAAATAAAGTGCGTAGGTCCTGGGGCACCCCCCGTGGCCCAGAAGCAGCAGCCAACAGCCCCCCTCTTCCCGCCTCTGGCAGGGTTCAGTTGTGTGTGACACGGAGGTAGGAGGTGGGCACGTAGCCCTCACCTCCCTGTTTCCGCCTGACCCGGGTCCAGCCGTCGCCTTTATCTTCTTCCATGAGACTGAGGTCCTCGCCTTCGGCCATGGAGATGGTGCCCTCGCTGGACCCTGTCGTGGGGGCGGCAGTGGGCTCAGGTCTGCTGGAGGCGGATCTCAACAGAACCCAGCCCCAAACACCGCCCCCAAAGCCACCGATGCGCCACCCAGGCTGTCCTTACCTTCAAAATGGTAGATGGCCACACAGTGACCTATGGGGGATGCAGGCTCCTCCTCAAAATCTTCATCGAACTCCGTGTAGATGGGAGCATCCTGACCCTCCTCGGACGGGGGCTCTTCAGAGCTGGTTGGAGAAGGCAAAGCAGGTGAAGACAGGCTCACCCGGGGTCCGGGGACAGACCCACACCGGCCTCCCTGCTCACCTCTCCTTATCCTGTGATCCGTTGTTGCTGTTGCTGCTGCTGTCTGGTGGGGCGCTGGCTGGGGGGTCTGGAGGCCGAGTGTGCCGGCCCAGGGTGTCCCCCCGGTTGCTTAGGACCCGGCTCTCGGCTTCTGCCAGCCAAGCCTGAGAGGAGGGGACCGCACAGTCAGCTCCAGGGCCAGGCTCTGGGGTCAGCCCACTCTGGCCTGGAGGTTTCCTGAGATCACCCATGCACACCCAAGGCAGTGATGAGAAACAGCTGAAGCAGCCCCCCCAATACCTCCCTGTCCCCCTCCCTCCCCCAAGAAGTGACTCAGCCAGGCCTGCCGGCCCCGCCCCTCCCCAGGGTCTTCCCTGACCTCATACTTCTGTACTTCCAATTTCAGACGTTCGATGTTGTTCAGGGTTTCTGTGATCCGGGGTTCCAAGCTGGCCGGGTCCCCCATCTGGGGTGTCTTCTCATATACATCCTTCATTTTCTTCAAGGCCTCCCTAGGGTGAGACAGACGGAGGAGAAAGAATCCCATGTGATTTAACAAACAAAAAATGTGGGCTTTGCTTCAGGGAGCTCAGCCAGTGCTTCATAGCTTGGGTTCAAATCCCAGGGTGGGCATTTCTTAGTTATGTGAGTTTGGGTTAAGTTACTGAAACTGTGTGTCAGTATGCTTGTCTGAAAAAGAGAATAATGGGATCTATATAGCTATGTCTATATATCTCCTGGGAGTTGTTGTGAAGATGAGAACAGTGCCTTTATGTATTCAGATATATACTGAGTGCATACTACATACCAGGAACCTGTCCTAGGCATTAGAAATATAGCACTAAACAGGACAGTCAGGGTCCTACCTCTACTCACAATCTCTCAGGAAAACGGGAATTCTAATGATGCACGTAAGGGGTTTAGAATGGTGCCTGGCATACAGCAACACTCTCTAAACGCTAAGTATTACTATCATTAGTCCCCTGTCCCTACTTCCTCCATGTAATGGTTACAAGCATGGTCCTCTGGACTATGTCAAACCTGGGTTCAACTTCTTTCCAGTCCTAGTACCTGATGCACATGACAGGTGAGGAAACTGGAAACAACTAGAATTCAAGGCCAGTCCGCCTGGACTCCAGAGCATGCACCCATAATCCCCCCATGATAAAAACTCAGGAATGATAGAGTTCTCGAATGGAACTTTACACCAATAAAAGCCGCTTTTGTACAAGAAGTTCTGTGCAAACGGCAAAACATCATTTGGCTGTCTGTCCACAAGTGGCAAACGTCATTCTTATTATGTAAGAGGACTGGGAAGAGAATCTTGTTGCTTGGAAAGAATGAGTAAAGATTTTCTTTTTTTAATCTGGCAGGTTTCTTTATCGTTAATATGTTAAGTGCTTTGAGTTATTAAATGAATAACCATATGCTTCTTTTTCTTTTAGCCAATTAATGAAGTAAGTGAGACGGATAGATGTTTTGATACTGAACCATCTTTGCATTACTGGGATAACACCCGAGTGATCATGATTTTTTTGTGGTCTTTTTTTTTTTTTAACTGCAGTAAAATATACATAATATAAAATTTCCCATTTGAGCTATTTTTAAGTGTATGGTTCAGTGGCATTAAATTCATTCATGTGGCTGAGCGATCAACACCACCGCGTGATTTTTTTTTTTTTAATACACCATTGGACTTGCTTGGCGAGGATTTTGCAATCTAAGATCATAAGTTAATTAAATAAGTCCATAATTTTACCTTCTTGAATTCTTGCTAACCCAATTTTGGAACTGAGATTCCACCAGCCTCCTAAATGAGCTGGCAGCTTTCGCTCTTCTTCTGTTTGTTGGAATGACTTATGTAAGATGGGAAGTCACCATTTCTTTTAAGTGTGGTAGGAATCACCTAGAAACCCACCAGGGCCTGGAATTTGTCGGGGAGGAGATCTTCGAGTATCATTTCAATGTAATTCATTTATTATTTCACCTTGTTCCTTACCTGCCCACCCCCTCACCTTACCTCTGGTCGATCTCCTTCTGTAGTTCACGGTTCCGTTCTTCCAGCTGCTGCTGAAGCCGCTTTCTCTGCTGCTCCGGGGGCAAGTGGCTGAAATCCTCGGTCACCACTGTCTGCAAGGTGGAAGAAGGCTGAGCTCGGGAACACAGAGTCGGAGCTTCCAGGGTCTAAGACATGACTAAGACACACCAAGTCCACCTTCCTCCCCACCCAAGGTTCTTGGGGGGCAAGGCCATGCACAGAGCAAAGCAGGTCCAGGTGGGGCCGTGGAAGGAGGGGGCCCAGCCGGCGGCAGGAAGCGAGCCCAGGGTCCCGCCACCCGGCCGCTGGGCAGGCTGGGGCCGCCCACTCCTCCTCCCCCGGAGGCCTCACTTACCCCACGGCTGCCTCGAAGGCTGCGGAAGGATGCTAGCCGCGGTTTGACTGACTTACTGATCTCACTCAGTATGGCCAAGGGGTCGAGGCCGGAGCGGGGGGACGGGGGTCCGTTAGGTAATGCCGAGGGCAGGGGGCCCCCCAGGGGGGAGAGGGGTGGAGGGCGCGGCTACCAGCAGGGGCCAGGGAGGACATGGGTCAGGAGGGGCAGGAGGACGTAGAGAACAAGGACGGATGAACGGAAGGACAATGGATGCAATAAAGAAAAAGGGGAAAAAAACCAAATGGAGAAAAGAAAAGAAAAAAAAAAGTAAGAAAACCACAACTCAAGATGCACAATCACACACACAGAAAATGCATGCAGAGAGCAACACAAAAATCTGGGAGGTGGCAGGAGGGCATTAATTAGATTGTGAGCCAGAAGGCCAGACCCCTCCCCCACCCTCCACCTCCCTCGCATCCTATGTCCAGTTTCTAGAATGGAGACTGGGGGTACAGGGAAGCCCATGTTTCTTGTCCCCCTCCCCAGCTTTCTGGGCTCACAGTCTAGAAGATGGAGGGAGAAGCATGCAGGAATCAAGGTCTCAGACAAATATGGGGCCATAGACGTCAAGGGCAAACTGAGAGAAGGGTCAAAGGCATGAAATACCAAAAGGGTTACAGCTGGGGTTTAAGCTGGGGGACGGTACGTATAAACTGAAGAAGGGTATCAAAGTATACACCAAGAGGGATCCGAAGTATAAAACAGGAGTCAAAAGGTATAAACTAGGGACATGGGGATTGTCAAAGGTGTAAGAAGCCAAGGGTGTCCAGGTATGTGCCTGACACTGAAAGCTAAAGATCCCGAGAAAAACCAGCCTAAGGGTGGGGCGCCCAGAGATGCACCGGAGGATTGGAGAGACCCAGGGGCGAGTCCCTAGGGCTGGTGTCCCAATCCCTCACCCAGCCCTGAATACCCAAAGCAGTTCTTCTCCCAGCATCCTGAGAAGCAGCAGACAGACGCCACAGGCCCCCCTCCTTGCCCCCCACTCCCCAGCCTCAGGGGACTCCCAGGCCAATTGCCCGGCCGCCTTCCTTCCCTCCAGCCCGGGCCAGCAGCCAAGAGAAAAATTCCTGCCCAGGACTCAGCGTTCCGGCGGCTGGGGCTGACTCAGTGGGGGCCCCTGCTGTCTCCACTCACACCCATCCCCTCCACCCCAAGGGCCCCGGCCCCCACCTTGTTCCTCTTGCTGAAGGGCCAGCGCTTAGCTCGGCTGCGGCCGGGGCCTCGGAGCTCAGGCCGTCCATCTGAGGGGGTGCCCAGGCTGCTGTCCGAGGGCACGCGGTTCATGGGCTGGCTGAAGTCTTCAAATTCCACGTCGCCCGGGCGGGCAAAGCCTGACTTGTGCAGCTCGATTAGGACCTGGGAGTCCTGGGGGAGGGGATGGTGAGGGGCAGTCAGGGGAAAGACTGGGTGCCTAGCCTTTGGGCTTCTCCTCCTGCCCTCTCCCACCCCCCCCGCCCCTGTGGTCCACTGGGACCAGGCACCCACGTTCTTGGCATCCACAGCATCCGCGGCCACCTTCATGCCCTCCAAACACTTGGCGATGATGGGTACCACCTGCAGCTCAGCCTCGGACAGGAGCCTGTACCCAGCCCCCAGGTGGGTGGCCCGTCGCTCGTCCATGTCCTGCAGCTTCTGCGGGGACAGGGGTGTGGGGTCTCAGGGGTGCTGATGGAAGGGCCGGTGGCAGAGTGATTCACTACACGAGCATGATGGAGACCCACACTGGCCCCAGCCCCAAGCCCAGTCTGGCAGGGAAACACAGAATCGAACACAGAGACTTCCAGCTCAGTGTGGTCAGGGAAGAAACAGGAGGCCGGGGAGATTTCAGAGGAGAATTTGAGGACCTCCCCTCCCCTTGCCTAGGGAGTCAGGAAAGGCTTCTCAAAGGAGGTGAAGCCAGGGATTTCAAGAAAAAGCAGACCCAGCACCAATACTGCCAGTCCCAGGGCTGGGACAGAGAGCAGAGTACAAGGCTGAAACAGAAGAGGGGAAATTCGAGATCTTTCAGAGGTGTTGTTAGAGTTGGGGCTTGGAAGAATAAGCAGGAGTTGCAAAAGGAAAGAAAGACAAATCTGGCAGAAAGAACAGCTTGAGTAAAAGCGGAGCACACTTTGACTATTTGTTTCTAATTCCTTCTCAATTTAGAGATTAGGGCATTACAGCCAGGGTTTTGACAAATGTGTAGGAGTTGGTTAACTCTGAGGTTTCAGGGGCAAGGTGGGGCTGGGGGTGTGGAGCACTTACATTAAAGATCTGGGGCATCTGGGAAAAATAGAAGTGAGCCTGGTCTCGGTTGAAGCGCTGTAGTTGGGCTGCATATTCATTTTTGCTTTCTTCTGCCATGTGACTCCGAAGGTGGGCCTGTTGCTTGGCCTGAGGAATATCGAGGTGGGGGTCATGGCCCAGTTCCAGCCTTGCCCAACCCTGACCCCCAAGCGTGTCTCAGACCCCACAGGCACCTTCTCCACATCAGCCTTGGTGGCATTGATATCCTGGTCCAGCCGCTCGGCCGTCTGAGCTGCCTTCTCAGCCTCCCGGCAGTCCCGCTCAAACTTACGCTTACTCTGTGTTGGGGACAGAACCAGAATGAAGGAGCCACCAACCAAAGTTTCACGGACTGGTGGGAAGTCACCCAGCAAATGGGGGTCGGGGCTGGAAACCCACAGCAGAGGTGGCGTCCTGGCCAAACAGGATACCTCTGGGGATTGGCAACCCTCACCCAGCTGCTCGGGGCCAGAGCCACGCTTCTCCACACCCACAAACTCACATTCTCTAGCTGCTTGAAGCCACTTTCCAGCTGCTGCTGGGCCCGACGGCCTTCTTGGAAGTGCTATGGAAAGAAGGGGTGATAAGGCTCACCCTGGTTTCAGGGGCCCTTGGGAAATCCCAGAGAGGGGATCACCCACCATCTTTCTCTCCTGTTTCATCTCCTGTGAGTACTTGGCCAGCTCGAGACACACGTGGACACTGAGGTTCTCGGCCACCAGCTCCCGCTGGCCCGCAAAATCATTCACCTCCTGGAGAATCTGCACAAATGACTGTTGCTGGCTGAACCTGGGATGCGGTGGAGGGGGACAGGGGCTGAGGGTCAGGGTCCCCAGGAGCCACGTGCCCCAGGACCCACCTCTGTATGAGAAAATGTGAGCCCCAAGACATTCACCCCAGAAGCAATGATATATTCTGGTCTGCATCCCCAACCCTTGGGGGGGACAAAGGACTCACAATTCTCAGAATTTGGGGGGTTTTAGAAAGGGGATATGATGCTTACACCACCTTTTTGCATCACCCTAGTGGTGTCAGCGGCAGCATCCTGTAACCAAATACTATAAATGTTTTTGCAAGGAGAAATATTAATGTCCACGCTAAGTGGGATAAAAACCAAGACCGCAATGAACGTAATAAACATCAAGTCAGTTCAGGTCGGAGGTTGCCTCCAAACAAGTGACCAAAAGAACTTTTGATTTCTAGAGCTTTTTGGATTCTGGACCTGGGGACCTGGAATAAAGTGAAATGGTCTGGGCATTGTTTAAACACGTTATCTTAATCTTCACATGAGCCCCTACAAGGACATCGTCATCATCCCCAATTCACAGGAGAGGAAAACAGAGGCATAAAACTTAAGTCACTTGCCCAGAGTCATTCATTTAGTAACTGTTGGAGCCTCTCCCATTTAACAGGCGAGGAAAATAGAGGCGGAGAACTTGAGTCAACTGGCGGAAGCAGTTTGGCTGGAAAGTAGTGGATTTAGAATTCCAACACAGGTAATATGGTTTCTGCATCCAAGCTCATACCTCTAGGTGGAACTGGGGTGAGAAGTGAGGGGTCTGCTTGGGTGGCCCAGCTTGAGGGAGAAGAAGTGGGTCCTATACCCCCTGCCCTCCCAAATCTAGCCCTGCATCAATCCCCTCTTCATTCTTACTTGGATTCTGGGTCATCTTTGCCAGGTCTTTTAGGCATATATTTTTTCACCAGGCTCCTACGGAGAGAGGCAGGAAGGCTGAGCCCCCAGCCCTCCAACCGCTCCCCCTAACCCCAGGGCGAGGCCACCCTAGGGTCTCACCGCAGCTGCTTTGCATAAGCCTGCTCCACCTCCGTCCTCTCTTTCACGAACTTCACGTATCTGTCCAACAGGTCCAGACCCCACTGCGTGTGCCGCTCGAGCACCTCAAACTGATCCTAGCGGGGGATTGGGAGGACTGGGGTCAAGACCTTGGGACCCCACAGCCTCCGACCAAGCGGCAGGGGAGCCTCCAGGCTCCAAGCTCCAAGAAGGCGTGGTTTCCCGGCCCCGCCCGGGAGCGGCGCGGGGGGAGGCAGGAAACCCGCGGGAACCCCCTCCCCTTCCCGGGAAGGGCCAGGGAACAGGGGCGGGGCCCCAGCTGGACTACAGGGTCCCCTCTCCCGACGTCCAAGAGAGGTGTGGAATGGGACAAGGCCACTCCCCCTGCCCCGGCTCCCCTAATCCCCCCCAGATTCCAGAAAATCCGGCCGGCCCGGCGTGAGTCAGGGCCAGAGGCGCAGGGTTCCCTGCAGCCTGGGGGGCCTCTGAATGGCTAGAGGGTGGGCACCAGGTTCCCCCGGTTGCCATGCTTCCCCGGGTGCCCCGAAGGGTGACTCAGTTTCCCTCACTGATTCCACTGCGCCTCCAAAAGAAATCCCAGCATTGGTGTGGGGGGCGATCTAGTTACCCTGGGACACCCAGGAACCGAGGAGTGCCACCGTCCCCAGAAAGAGGAGGGGTCAGAGGTCCCGGCTAGGAAAGGGGAAAATTTCTGGGACTTCCAGGGCACAGGTTCGAGGCGGTCAGGTGGCGGCCCCTCCCAGTGCCTAGGGCGGGCTGGGGGAGGGGGCTGAGGCCGAACCTCGCAGCCCCCTTCCCCCTACAGGGTCCCAAGCCCCTGGTTGTTGATTATAGGCAACGTGAGGGCGGTCTGTACTTCCAGGTCCCACGTGGGGTTGATAGTGGCCAGAGGGTCCCCTCCCCCGCCCCAGTCGGACAGGCGGAGGGCGGGCAGGGGCCCAGGGGCCGTAAGATAAGCCGCCGGCCCAGTCAGGGCGCTCAAAATAGGTGACCTCTCCCGGCCGCTCCGGCCTGGTCCCAGGACTTCTTTTGCCCTCCTCACTATGAACCCCGTACCTCAGTTTCCCTACGCCGCTCCGGCAGGGTCGCCCTCCGCTCCCGGGCGTCCTGAAACGCCCTAGGAAACTCCGAATGAGGGCGGAAAGCGGGGATTCCAAGGGGTCGGTGGAAGGGAAAGCGCAGAGACCCCTCTAGGGTACTGCAGGGGCAAAGCGGGGGTCTGGACCCCAGGAAGGGAGGAACTTGGAGCCGGGCGGATCGGACTCACCCACAGTTCGGTGCCCCAATCCATGCTGCTCCCGCCGATGCCAACGCCGCCGCCGCACCCGGTCCCCACCGCCCGCCGCCGGGAGACTCAGCCAGGGCGCTGAGCCCGGCCCCGCCCCGTTAATGCCCCGCCCACTCCAGGCTCTGCCACGCCCCATAGGCTCTGCCACGCCCCCGCCCGCGCGGAGCTGCGGCGCAGCCCCCTAAAGGTGAGGCACACCCCAGGAGGCGGGGCCCCGCAGACGCCCCGCCCCCTCTTAAAGGAACGTTGCCGCCCGAAGCCACTGGACAGACTCCTTAAAGGACCCCCACCCATTTTCCAAATCCCTTAGGACCCTCTTGTCCTCCCCACACCTAACCCGCCCTGGATTGTTTTTCCTTTCCTTTTTCCTTTCAATCATTCATTAAAGGGCCAAGACACTAAAACCCCAACCCAAGAGGTTCTTCCCCCACCCCATCGCAGGGAGAAGCTGAGGTCACCTCGCTCTTGCGGGCCGGCCCGGCTCCAGACGTCTACGTTCGTCCCACTAATGGTCTGGTCCCTCCGGCCACAGGGCGGATGGGAGGACTTCGATCCTGTCCAGGACGCGCCTCCACCAAGGCCTGGTCCATTAGCGCCCCCACCGCATCCTGCCTCCTTCCCCAAATCTGCGCCTGGAAACTAAGGACGAGCTGTCCTTGGGGCGCCGGGCCCAGGCCTTTCTCCCGTCCAGTTCGAGCCTGCACCTGCCCATTTTCCAGTTGCATCCATTAAGGCACAATCAGTTTTAATTGTCTGCACCGACCCTGGGATTCCGACTCCACCCCCGACGCCCCTAGAACCCTGGGGCTTGGAAGTCTGTCGTCCCTGTCATAAAAGTCTGTTCACACGTTGTTAATCCCTTTGAGGCACTGGGATGAAAGGGGAGAGATCCTAGCAGCAACCTGCTTCATCCTCTCCCTCTTCTGGTGCTTTCTCTTTGGCTACAGAGGTGACAGTCGCCCTGCTGGGGCTGGGGGCTCCGGGCCCCCGGGGACAAGTTAGGCTCTGAGCCCGCAGGCTCCCAGTACACAAAACCGAGGAGCCCAGGAGGATCGCTCCGGGAGCCCACACTGGGACAGATGGCTCTGCGAGGACCTGGCCCCACCTGCTGGTGGCTTCTGAGTTAGAAAACTTCAAATTACAAAGTAGACGTGCTCCGGAGGTTAGAGGATCAGATCGAATCAGGAATTCAGCCTGGGGTCTGGAAATCAGTGGCTCAGCCTGGGAGTAGGGTCTCAGCCTCTAAATGAAGTTGGGATTCATCCCAGGTTGGCACCACAGTTGGGATGGAGTCTGACTGGGATAGGAGGCTTAGCAGAGGGGTCAGCCACCCAGTCGAAGGCCTGGAACTCAAACTAAGGTCCACAGGTCAGTCCTAATCTGAGGTCAGTCCAGGTGGAAGCTCAGCCAGAGATTAAGGCTCAGTATAGGCTGAGGGTAGTAGGGGGTCGGGGAGTCTAAGTTTCGGCGGAGGTCAGGGCTCAGCTGCAGGTAGGGGGCTCAGGCTGGGGCCGGGATTCAGCCTGACTCAAGACCAGCCTGGGATCTGGGGATGGGCCTCCAGTTGCCTCACTCCAGGACAGAAGGGTCCACCTAAGGCTGGTGACTCAGCCTGGGATCATGGGTCATCGTAGGGTCAAGATTTAGCTTGAGGCCAGGTTTTGGCCTCTCTGTGGATCAGGAAGATTAGGAGAACAGGACAGGCTTTAGCAAATGCATGTGTTTACCAAAAGCCTGAGCTTTGGCTGGGAGCCACATCCCCAGGGTAAGAAAGGGGACGTCCGTCCTTAGGGATACTGGGAAGTGTAGTTTATTGAACGTCCCCTTGAGCTGTTTGCTCCCCCTGCGTTCTGGGTAATGTAGTTCTGAACGGGTCTGTCAGTTAAGAGTGGATGGAGGAATTCCCCTTTAGGGGCCGGATATCAGATCCATCACAATTGGTTGGATGGACTGTTTATCAGAGTACATCCGTGGACAATCTTTCTAGTGATTGGTGAGCGTGGAGGCGGGGTTAAGCGATATCAGCACTTCCATTCGGGGCTCGGGCTGTCCATTTGGTGTCGTACAGGGTGCGGGCTCGAGAGGAGACGATTAGTGATTGGTTGAGTGGGATGAAAAAAGCTGAAGGGTCGGCCCCCACCGTGCGGCGATTGGCGGGCTTGAGGGCGTCAGAGGCGGTGTCGGGGGAGGCGTTGGCTTCAGAGATGGCCGTGAGCGAGAGGAGGGGGCTCGCCCGCGGGAGCCCCGCGGAGTGGGGGAAGCGGCTACTTCTGCTGCTGCTGTTAGGCGGTTGCTCTGGGCGCATCCACCGGCTGACGCTGACGGTGAGTCCCGCCGCGCGGCGGTCTGGGGTGTGGGTCGCAGCTTTGGCCCGGAAAAGCCCCTGGTTTGGAGTGGTTTCGTCCGGATGGAGCGGTCCGGCGCCCCCCGCTTCCAGGTCCGGAGTGGTCTCGTCCGAGGAGCCCCCTCGGTCCTCCTGTTGGAGTTGCCTGGCCCGCCGCGCTGTAGTCGTGCCCCGCCCACCGGGGGGGGGTTCATCTCCGGAGACGGCGGACTCTGAGTCCTCTAAATTCTTGGGATTGCTTTGGGGACGCTAGGGACCCTTGACGCCACCCAGGGAAGTCCCTGGGGGTTCTAGAATAGGGTCCTCTGGGTACTCACTGGGATCTTGGGGGCTCAGTTGGAATCTAAACATTTTCCGGGAGGTGAGGGCCAGGCACCCCAAGATGCGTAACTCTGCTCTCCGGGTGATGCTTACCCAATAGGGAGACTTCCAGGTATCCCAGACTTTCGAATCCTGGGCTCTCCGAACAGTGGCCAGAGGATCCGGAGCCACCCTGTCCCTGCCTGGGATTAAGGTTATGGCCTCCGGAGCTGGCCCTCTCAACCTCTCCCGTCACCCTTTGGACCTGTCCTAAATATAGAGATACCCAGAGGGGCCCGAAGCCCTTGGGGGAACCTCATGCTAGAGCCCTGGGGCTGGGCTGGTGGGAAGTCTGAGCTGCCTCTGCCTTCTTGGTCTCTGGCAGGGGGAGAAGCGAGCAGACATCCAGCTGAACAGCTTTGGCTTCTACACCAACGGCTCTCTGGAGGTGGACCTGAGCCTCCTGCGGCTGGGCCTCCAGGAGACAGATGAGAAAGCCCCATTGGTGAGGGGCTTTGAGGAGTTTGCTGGAGGAGGGAGAGGTGCACAAGTTTCTGAGCTCCGCCCCCCTCCCCCCGCCCCAATTCTGGATTCACATCCTAGCTCTGCCTCTCACCCATGTGATCTTGGGCAAGTCCCTTGATCTCTCTGAGCCTCTGTTTCCTCATCTGTAACTTGGGAATAATAATTTCTCATGCAGTACGTGCCAGGCACTGAGCTGGGGGGAGGGGGGCCTACCAGTGAACAAGACAGCCCCAGTTTCTGCAGTCGAAATGAGAAGTTAGTGTTTACTGAAGGCCCGCTGGGTACCAGGTACCATGCAAATCTATTTCCATGAGTCTGTTCTGTCATAGCCACCTCTCAGGGATGCTGTGAAAATATTACACCTGTAAAGCCAATTTTACAGGTGTTTACACAGACTCAGGGGCACGTGGCTTACTCAGAATCCAAGAGCCTGGATGTGGATCCAAGTGTGTTGGCTTCCAGAGCCCAAGGCAGGGAGCCATGAACATTCTATTTAATTTATTTTTTACATCAACATTTTAAATGGGGGGAAACAGGGTGGGTAGGTCGAGGACCAGCGAAGGTCTCCCTGAGGAAGTGACATCCCAGTCAAGGGGCAAGAATGGTTAGGAGTTAAAGGAAGAGGGTTGGGGGGCTGGGGAAAAGTCAGTGAAGTGAGTGAACACGGAATCTCACGCTTAGTAGGCTTTGAGGAAATTCGAGGTTACGTTACTATTGCCACTGATAGAGGTGGCTTGGAGGTCCCTGCTGGTGTCCCTCACATCACCTCTTTTTCTTGCCAGGTGGGGTTCAGTCTGACCCGTATTCGATCTGGCAGTGTTCCTTCCTATTCAGTGAGTGGAGGGGGCAGAGGTGGAGGTGGGGGGGGGGGGGGGGGAGGGGGGGGGGGGGGGGGAGGGGGGAGGGGCAGGGGTGGTGGAAGGGGAGGATGGTCCGTCAGCATCTGGAACCCAAAGATCCCTGTCCTTTCCCAGAGGGGGGAGCAGGGAGAGACCCTCCCTTGCCCGGGTGGATGGGGAGGAAGGCAGAGTGAGGCTGGACCAGTGGGAGGGGGTGACGAAGGCTCCCTGCTGCCCACTCTCCAGAGCCGGGACCCTCACGACTGTCCTCTCCGGAAAAACAGTAGCAACCTTCTGGCTGTCTTCCTCATCAACACCAAGGATCTGCAGTGAGTTGGAGGGCTGGTGGCTCCCCTAGAGAGCCGTCATTGGGGTTTCCCTGGTTGTGCTACCCACGTGAGCTGATCAGGTGGAATCAGAACCAGCCAGAAAGAACCTTGACTCCTTTGGAGAAAGCCACTCGCTTTTTTTTTTTTTTGGCCGCACCACGTGGCTTGTGGGATCTTGGTTCCCAGACCAGGGATTGAACCCGGGCCCTCGGCAGTGAAAGCACCGAATCATAACCACTGGGCCACCAGGGAATTCCTGTCACTCGCTTTTTAATTTTGCCTTCAAGCCTTCTGATTATGGGAGGGAGAGAGGGGAGGAGTGCCCAGGCAGTATTCGGGTCTCAAGGCAGAAGACCCAACACAGAGGGGTGTTGTGAGAATTAATACAAGTCATTTGTGCGTGTAGGATGCACCCTGTGCGCCAGGCAGCATCCTGGGATCTCTACAGGTGTTAACTCATTGACTGCTCAGACTGTTATTATCCCCATTCTAAAGATGAAAAAACTGAAGCTGAAAACTGGGATTTGAACCCAGGGTCCAAAGATACTCTGTTGCCTCTCTGTATGTACAGCATTTTCTTTTTAAATAGTGTGTACTTCAGTAGAATGAGTGACTTAATGTCACAGGAAGTGACAA